GGAGTACTGTCACACTGTCTGGTCCCCGAGATATGTTAGGACTGTCAGTTGGTTGAAAATTTCAAAGGAGGGCCACCAGCAGGGTTGCCAACTCATTTTCAAATGTCGCTAGGCTGGTACCTAAAAGTAGCTAAATGTCTTCGTCTTCCATGGAAAGTCGCTAGCTATTCCCCCCTTCAGGAATTTGATGCAAATTATATTTTCATAATGCCGACTATAATGGACGGAGTATAAATAAAATGCATAATATAAAAAAATATTATTTTTAAAGTTTAATGTGCACCCTTTATTCAATAGTAATTGCATCCAGTCCTCTTCGTAGTCGTCGGCAGTGTGAACAACTGTAGAGGCTGAATGAGTGCTGGTCAGGTTCTCTTGTAACTGTATGCCTCCACAGTCCCTATCTTTCTTAAAATATCACTAGGAAGTTCTACTTGCACAACAGGTGTTCTGTCTTTTTAACCCATACTTTATTGTAGAATTGTCTTTAATGTCGATAGTTTCATTTTGTTGCAATTTTGATTTCACAAAGTTCATATTACTAAATGTGCGCTCTACATCTGCTTTTGAATGCGGAAGAGATAAGGCAGCGAGTGCAATTTCAGCCAGATCATGGTAAGGGTTTTCACCTGTCGCATCTCTGTAATTTGCCACTTCTGACCACAATTTTAGGGTGTTAGATGTTTCTGTCCAGATTGTGTGATGCGATTTTTTCCACTGAAATCAATCTTAGTAAAGGTGCTGGAATCTTCTGTAAATAAGTGTCCAAACCAAGTATATCTGATTTAATAGGCTTCAAGCATTCATCGGCTCAGAAAGAAATAGACTGCAGCACACGAATGTTGTCAGGTAGCGTTGACGAAGTTGTTTATGAGTTCAACCCGTTCAAATGCATTGTCCTGTAACCCCGTTGCTATATATTATGGCTCGAAATTAGGAAAACCTAGTTTTCATGGACAGTCCAAAAGTATCCAGAAAGTCGCTAGATTTCTGTGGATATCTCTAGATTTGCGACAAGTCGCAAATCGCTCTAAAATGTCGCTAGAAAAAACAAAAGCTCTAGATCTAGCTACAAAGTCGCTAAGTTGGCAACTCTGGCCACCAGACCGGTGCCTGCACTTCAGCACCTCAGCTACCCTGAGATATTGGGCGCCTGAACTTGCTTACTACAGATGGGCAAGGGAGACCTAATTGAGGTGTATAACCATCTCAAGGGGACTACTCAGTCAGTGTCCTTATTTGGAGCTGGCGGACGCTCGCCCCACAGGGGTCACAGCTCAAGATTGAAGAAGCCGCAAGTCCAGAAAACTGTGCGGGCAAACTTTTCGGGTAGAGTTGTGAACCCTTGGAACAATCTACCAGAAAGTGTTGTGACACCGAGTGTGAGCTCTTTCAAGACCAAACTTTACCAAGACTGGAGCAGGTTCAGGTACATTCAGGAGCCGGTGCAAGCCCAGTACTTGCCAACAGTGCGTAACAGAGACGTGACCAATCGCCCAAGCGGCTAACGAGTCGATCATTTGGTGAAGAGGATAAAAGAAAAGACAAAACTTATGGCGGACACTCGTAACACATTTTATTAAGATTTGTACTGTATATTTATTTTATCAGTTGTGATAGCTGTTTTGGTTTCACATTAAATGTTTTATTATTGTCCAGATTCTGCATAGTTTCCATGTTACAATACATTTAAGATGTTGTATTAATGAAAGTGAATTTGAAATAGAAACCCCGTAGGTTTTGTAATAATTTATTCGCAGATCTCTACAGTGTGACTCTCTTCTTTACAACCAAAAATGTTCCAATTTGCCCCTTCTGCCTCAATGTAGGCCTGTACATGCTGTGCATCCACTCACCTAACCCATAACCATACTTGCAATAAGTTCATAAAACCTTGGTGAGCTTTATTGCATGTAATATACTTATCCATATTAAATTCATCTTATATACAACATCAAGATAATTAAGTCAGTGGAGCACATGAAGATTAGGCACTTCAATTATACCTAAAGATTGACCATCCTAACATAACCTCCAGGTAGGGGGGTCTGAGAGAGAGAGAGAGAGAGGCAGAAGTGGGGTCACCATTCACACACACACACACAGTAAACTTTCTCCCACTCTCTAACACACACGGCCGTGCCAAGATAACCTCCACCCAGGCTGCATCAAGATAGCGTCTCGCCTCGGTGTGTCTTACAAGGTCGAACGAAGGATTTGGCGTTAACGGGAATTTTGTATCTAGGTTAGGTTCGGTTGTATCGAGGTTAGGTTTATGTCGGGGTTAGGGTTCGTTAGGCTAGGTTGTATCTAGGTTTGGTTAAGTTAGATTGTATCGAGGTTAAGTATCATTACGTTATAGATACTAACTCGGCTCCGGGTCTCAGTTCGTGCATCACAATCTATATTCATGACGGCGGAGATAAACTGACCAGAACTAATAGTGTTGGTTTAAGTTTGGTGAGTATTGTGTCGCGCGATGCGGTTCACTGTGCATGCGTACTGAGAATTTGGCCCGCGAGTGAGGTCTTGATTTTACTCCTAACCTAATCTCGATATAACCTAACCTAACCCGATCCTAAGAAAATTAACGGCCATATTATTAAACAACATCTACCCCTTCCAACGAAGAATCTTTTCGAAGGTATTGTTCCATCAAGCGGCATTTTTAAATGCTCGAACCTCTTCCACTTCGTGCGGGATGATTTTTTTTAGGTCTGGTAATACTGTCTCCTTCGCTGATGCATTGTGGGTCCTGTGTGTGTTTGTTTACCTTTGTTGGCGCCATGTTTAGTATTGTAGCAGCTCTCGTCAGGGATATGTTTACCTCCAAAGTCTCCCGGGCAAGTCCCATATCACAGAGAGAGCGGGATTTCTTAGTTTATTTGATTGGAGAGGAGAGAATATTGAAAAATAAAAGTACTTGTGGGAAGCTTGTTGCACTAAAGAAACAAGCATGGATACGCATTACAAGTTTCAATGCTGAGGGATATGGACCTCGGCGATCAGTAGAACAGCTGAAGTGGATGTGTACCCATCAATCAATTTCATTGATGAGTACCACAATTACTTTGCTGAAAGCATGCCTTCTACAAATCCAGGGCAAGATTTGTGCTTCACAAATCCTGTACCAGAGCGTGCCTCCAGCAGAGGCGATGACCCAAATTTACAACCTAGCCCCTCAACCTCCTCCCAGAATAATAAAGAGAAAACATCATTATTTGATGAAAAACGGTATAACCGACCAAACAGGAAAAATATAACCATTGAAGAGGAAGAAAATAATAAATTATTTTGGAGCACACGGCAGCAATTTTTAGATAAACAATTGGAAGAAACAATGATCAACATTCAACTTGCAAATAATCAAAAGTTGCATAAGATTTGGAGATTCAGCTTTTGTCAAAATAAAGATTCAAGTTGAACAAAAGAAGTTAGAAATGATGGAAAAAAATTCTGCACAGTACAGTTTAGTATAGTATAAAATTACTTTTGTATTGGGTGTTATCTCAATCATCCTTGGCGCTGTTTAAGGGTTAATGCAATCAGTTCACAAACAAACAAAAACGGTGTAATTCACTACATAACTACAGCTGTATTGTGATTTTCTACCTAACTATACATTATTTTAATTTACATAAAAATTTTTTATCTAAATTAGTTACTACCTAATTATAATTTATTTTAGCACTGTACTAAAGATTATGTATTTAATACCTACCTACAATTTTATTTAGTACTTAAAATTATGTATTTACTACCTAACTATAAATTAAGTAATTAAAACCTAACTAATTTAATTTAGTAATTAAACTTATTTCCGTATGTACTACAGTAACTAACTCGAATTTAATTTACTTAAAAGTATGTATTTACTACCTAACTATAATTTAAATTAATATTTCATATTAAGGATTTAATACCTAACTATAATTTAATTTAAAAATTAAAATTATTTCCGTATGTACTTCAGTAACTAACTAGAATTTAATTTAGTACTTAATAGTCTGTATTTACTACCTAACTATAATTAAATTTATTTCAAAATAAGTATTTAATACCCAATTATAATTTAATTTATAATTTAAATTTATTTCCGTACGTACTACAGTAACTAAATAGAAATTAATGTTATAATTAAAAGTATGTATTTAATACTGAACTAAAATTTCATTTAGTAATTAAAATTAGTTCTTTAATACCCAACTAAACTTTGCGTACATAAGACATAACTTCTGGGATTTGCTACTTAACTACTGTATCATGATTTGTTAAAAAAAAAAACTAATGGGATATTTCATCAGAAAATTGTGAAAATAGAAAATGTCAGAGTACTGTATAACCTTTTTTTCTATATTTACAATTTCTTTCCGTTCTTTTTTTTCTGCCCCCCAGGCTCCGTTGTGGGTCGTTGGACCCGTGCCCGGGTGGGCTAATTCCCGTTAAAAAAAAAAAATCCAGTGACGTTTAGTTTGTTTCATCGAAGAAAGATTTAGGCTTGGACAACAATAGTTATCACATCTTGTCTGGGGGTCACAGAATGGAAGAGGTTGGGAACCACTGATCTAACTGCTTATGTATGTTTGTGTGTCTGTCTTTCTGTGCCTTTCAGTATATCTATCAATTTATCTATCTATTATCTACCAATATCTATCTATGAATACCTGTTTCAGTCAGTTTTATCTATACAGTATTTGTCAATCTATTTATTAATAAATATTTGTCAGTCTGTCAATCTATGTACTGTATGTCTATCCATATGGCTTACCAATATCTGTCAGTATCTATATAGTATTTCGAGAATGTATATAAAGGTGATTTAAGACTTGCAGCCACAGCGTAATTGACTTTTTAAATATTCTAACCTCAGTTCTTTTTGGTAGCATGTCGATGGTCTAGGCACATGGGTAGTGTAATTCTGATATCAGGGTCACTTGGACGGAAATAAAGGTAACTACTGTGGGAGAAATGAATACTCCTAAAATACTCAAAGAACAAGTTTATTAATATAAAATCAAAGTACCAGGCTCAACTCCTGGGCTTAATACAGACTCCGTATTTCTTATTTACTTATTTTCTTATTTATTCAACAGCAATTACCCAGATATTACACTCTTACTGGTGTCACATTACATTACATAGCAGGACCAGTTCCTTGTCCTTACTCTCAATACACTAATACTGATACAAACACATACAGCCACACTGTGAAACATAACTCCAAGGCCTGTCCCAGGGTATAGCACTGGCGCCTCTAACAACTTCTGTTGTGGTCGGTTACACTCCGACACGTGGCGGGTCTGGGGTCCTCAGCCCACGAGGTAGAGTGGAGCCGATTAATCATGCCGAATCAGCGCCATCACTCCTATATTGACGACTGCTGGGTATCCACCGGCTCCGAGTGACCGGTAGGCTTCAATTAAACCCACCCTCGATTTGAGAACGAAGGTGAAAGGTGATACGGGAGGTTTACTCCTCCCGCCTCGCACTGGTTTATATACCCCCGAGTTGCCAGCGATCGCTACTCACGCAAATAATTCGGTAAATCTATTTCAAGTAAATGGAAAATAAGCAAACAAATGTTATTTACCAAGACGCTTCCCTCTGGCTCAGGGCGAGATGTAGGGGTAGATAACAAGGCTATTTATAGCCTGTCTTTGTGTCTGAAGTGGCCAGTACCCTAATGCACCATAAATAATTCATTGAACATTCATTTTACTAAGAGTGTTCAATGGGATGGGTGGGTAGTCCATAATTGATTTGACAAGGGCTATATAAATCTTTTTGTTATTAATGCTAAGGTTCTTAAAGCGTTTTATTTTTGATAATCTTATTCATGCCTGTCGTTCTTTATCTTTTAACTATGTTATATATCCTCTTTTTGTTAGTTTTAGTCCAAGCATCCTGCCTTCAGTGTCGTATGGGTATAGTTCCTGATCGACTATAACTGGACTTGTTTTGATCTTGGCTATTGGTATTATCTTGAACTTGTTCTTATTTGACCTGATTTTCCATTTTTTCTCAAAATCATTTATGTTTTTTATCGCTCTTACCGTGTAGAGTGCCATAAATTGGGTTGATTTTCCTGGGCATGATACGATTTGAGTAATATCATCAGCAAACATTACATATTCGCGAGGACAGGTCACCACGAGGTCAGGTCTTAAATTGCAGGGGTAGGCGTGGCTTTGTAGTTGACCCCCGCTCCGTGATGTATGGCGGCACTGGTTGACCTCGACCACGAGGCATACACTGGGGAATTGGTGGGGTCGGCTACTCAGCGACAAACAGAGTTTGTAGGGGAGAAATCCACTACACTACCAAGTAAATGTATTGTGCTAGATGGTCGGGTGGCGTCTTGAAGCGGAATTAAGGATCATCTAGCAAGAACAATAGTAGTCCCCCGATCTTATGTAAACTTAAGTTATTTAAACTGGTAAATTGTCCCCTGATCTAGTATAACAAAGTCCCCTGATCTAGTATAACAAAGTCCCCTGATCTAGTATAACAAAGTCCCCTGATCTAGTATAACAAAGTCCCCTGATCTAGTATAACAAAGTCCCCTGACCAGGTATAATAAAGTCCCCTGATCTAGTATAACAAAGTCCCCTGATCTAGTATAACAAAGTCCCCTTATATAGTATAACAAGTCGAACACTTTATCACGAGATAATTAATTACAGCATACAAGTAGATGTTTAACACTGTTGGGTTTAGGGAGGCGATCTCTGGAGAGAGAGAGACTCGCCTCACTGCACTCGACCGAACTTGTGTACAAGAGAGATAATGGAAGGGCAATGTAAAGTGTATTGTATTATACAGTGTGTATATTTAGCATAAAATAATTATAGAAAAATTTTGTGAAAATATAACTATTTTGAAAGGTAAAAGCGGCTTAAATCGCGCAATTGGATTAGTGGGGCGGGGCCGAGTGTAGACTATTGATATATTGGCTTTGAACGCAAAGTTTAATTGTACATATGGAGTCACAGCAAGATTAGTATTTGAGATATTTGGGTGGAGCTTGTATATGAATATGTAGTGTTGTATAGATATTGGAAATTAAATTAATGAAGATAGAATAGAGTATATATAAGTGGGAGTGTAAGACAAATTGTAGTGCGCGGCTGCAAAAACATAATTCCATCTTCACCAATGACGCTTGAAGTACGTCTAGCAACTACACGTGTGTCGATCTCGGCTGATTTCTCCTTCTCTTGTGATTGGTTGATGATTTTGTAATTGAGTGATGATTGGCCAACTAGCTCCTGCAATGCCATCTACCTTCAGACAAGAGAACTGAATTTACAGGGTAAATACTAGAGTTACGGACTGCTGACGGGACTGTAATTAAATTTTGAGTGAGAAATTTACGGGACTGTAAGGAGGCTGTAAATTAAGGTACTGTATCTCTGCTACTGTACATAACTGATGAGGTGTTTTGAGTATGTCGCCCCTGATCTAACCTAACAGGCCATGTCCTACCCTAACCGTTGTGTCACCAAAACATCAAATTGGGACTTAGAAAATTCGTGATTATTACAACAAATAAATGGCGACTATCTCGTATATTTTTGCAGTGCCCTGCTAAATTAAAGTATATTCTTTCATTTTTCAAAGAGATCTATTAAATGGGTTGAGAAAAATTTGTAAAAAGGTGATGGATGGTTAATGAAAAATTACCTTTTAATGTACCTATCACACAGTTCAGACAATTTAAAAAAAAATTATCTTCTGATATTTTCGTCGGAAATATATATTTTTTGAGTATTTTAAGAGATAAGCGATAATCTCTAGATTCTGAGATGGGGGGTATCTCAGAAACTATTGATTTGTGCCTGAAATTAAATCAAATTTGTTCATAACACATCAAAAAAATTGCAAAAACAGATTAAAATTGCAGTTTGGGCCAATATGCCCTAGTAATTTAGAAATTAGTTAATCCTGTGTATTTTGGTGTTGCTTAATCGAATTTGACCTTTACTTCCGTGGGAAAGTAACCGTTTTAGAGTTGTCCCACCCAAAAGTATGGAAAACTATAAAATTCATTTCTGACATTATTCTTTGCTCCCTGGTTGAAATGGGTTCAGAAATATTCCAAACAAGGAGATCTAAAGGTTGGAGATGGTTAAAACAGTCATCCATGTAATGGCCGAAACTGCAATAATACCAATCATTGTTTTAACTTTGATTTCGTACAGTGGCAACAAGAACAAAAGTATGAAAATTTACCGATACAGTAAGTCAACACCTCCACTGGCAGACCCAACACAATGTGGACTTAACCATTAAATACACTTTCTCACCATTATAATTTACTAACAACTACTCTGTATTATTAATGTTACATATATGATATAATACTACAGGTTCTAATAAAGTTCTCACCAATGCTTCAGGCGGTTATTTCCAGGACTCAGGTCTTCTTAAACCCGCTCATTCCTCCATCTTGGTTCTCTGTCAAAGTGTTGCTCCTGCTGGCGACTGACTTCCAGTATCACCAGATGAGAAACTTTTCATTGAACCCCAGTGATGAGAGTTTAGTGGCGCTGTTAAGTCATAGATGGCGCTCGCCTCCTTATTACGTTTAAAATATAAATCGCCCTCTGAATAATCATCTATTACCAACTAAATAAAACTATATTAAAATCTAATAAGAGTGTGAAAATTAAATGAGTTTTTGATACCAAATAACTGAAAAACATAAGAAATTCACGATTTTAACCAGAAAGAAAATGTTACTTAGTTCTTCGGGCACTAAAGAAAATTACATATCTTGGGATAACTAAAGTAAATTATAGATATATTACAGAACTACAAACTATGAAGTATTGTAACTATATTCACTAACAATACTGTACGTTAGTAAAGCCTATATGTTGGTGGTACTTATATACGACCTGGGGAACTTAAATACTGCATGGTTTACTTAAGGAGAGTGAAACTTATTTAGATTCTGTGTGAAATTAAAGTAGTTTTTTGTTCCTTCTCTGGTGACAATACTTGTCATGATGATGTGTTAAATAAAGCGTCTCAGTCTGTAGTTTGCTTCAAAGGTTAAAAGCCGTCCAAATGTTAAAGAGGTCAATTAATTCTATATTATATTTAGGCTGCATAAAAGGAACTCACCCGGACACTTGTTGAATACGTCCATTTTATTACGAAGCTTAAACACTTTTGAAAATTTTAATGATCTTATGAGTGAACATTACCTACAGATTCATATGTGTATTTGTGTGAAAAAAGTGAAAATTTTAGAGAAACTTCCATCTCTCTGAGAATTATATTTTATTCATAATCTTTCAAAGGAAAGTCAATTGTGATCTGGCTTTTGAAGTTTTGATAAATCTAGTATAACGAATTCTAATATTTTCCTGCATGTAAATATGTACAATATATTGAATAACCTGTCAGTCTTCTACGGGCGGTCACACAGACACTACCGCCCGACTCTGTAAAGCAGCTCATGGTTGTTACACCTGTTTGACTCCCAGTAAAACCACATTCATTAATCTCTATAGTAAAAAGTTTAAAAAAAGAAAAATAGAAAAATAATAAAATAGCAATAGGAAGGAGATAATTAAGACTGAATTATTTTTACAGAAAAACTAAATAAAAATGAAAGAGCTTAAACAATTGCACGGTGATAGGATAATTAACCGAGTTAAGGAATTCCCTCCAAAATCAAGAGGCCCCCCCTCTATCTTCAAGAAGGGTGATGATCACTCCACGAATAACTATAGACTGGTGAGCCTGACCAGCATAGTATGTAAAGTACTTGAAAACATTATAAGAGATGCCATGGTGGAACATCTACCACAAAACAGCCTTGTAAATGATTGCCAAAACAGTTTTATGCCAGGATGTTCCTGCTTAACACAATTACATGAACTCAAGGCACTGGATGTTTGAACCCAAATTATGGAACAGGGAGGGATTATCGACATAATATCCCTAGATTTTACCGAGGCTTTTGACAGCGTACCCCATGAAAGGCTGAAAATTAAACTGGAAGGGTATGGAATTCGAAGAGATGTCTTAGTGTGGATCGGAGAGTTTCTCCATGACCGCAAGCAGTGTGTGGTGATTGGCACGAAATCAGCATGTGTACACGTCACAAGCGGGGTACCACAGGGCAGTGTATTGGGCCCGCTGTTGTTTGTTTGCTTCATAAATGACATGCCTGCCGCTGTACCTTCCACCATACAATTGTTTGCGGATGACGCCAAGTTATTTCGGGAAATTAAGAACCAAGCAGACAGTGAAGAGCTGCAGAAGGATCTCTGTGAGTTTCAAGAATGGTCAAACAAATGGCTGCTAAGATTCAATGTCAAAGTGTAAGAGGCTGCTCCTGGGACATACCAATGGTAAGAAGGCATATCATATGTCCCACCAGGACGAAGAAACTGCACTAATTGAGACTGAATGTGAAAAGAACCTAGTTGTGCACGTTGACAATGAGCTGAAGTTCTCGGGCCATTGCGAGAAGGTGAATCAGGAATTAGGCAACTAAATTATTAGGGCTTGTAAGAAGGTCGTTCAGATATCTACACGGTCGGTCCCTCGTAACGATCTTCAAGAGCGAGGTGCTTCCCCGTCTAGTCCCCGAGATATGCTAGGGATTGTCATTTGATTGAAAATGTCCAAAGGAGCACCAGACTGATGCCTGATCTTCAGCACCTCTGCTACCCCGATAGATTAGAGCGTCTGCAATTGCTTAGCTTATACTACAGACGGGCAAGGGGAGACCTAATTGAGGAGTAAAAACATCTTAAAAGGGCACTACTCAGTTGAGTGTCCTTACCTGAAGCTGGCAGACGCTCACCCTACAAGGGATCACAGCTCAAGGTTGCGAACTCTTGGAACAATCTGCCAGTGTTGTGATGGCACGAGTGTGAGCTATTTCAAGACCAAACTTGACCAACATTGGAGCAGGTTCAGATACATTTAAGAGCCGGTGCATGCCCATAAATTGCCAACAGTGCGTAACAGAGACGTGATCGGTCGCCCAAGCGGCTAACGAGCCAATCAGTGGTTAAGAGGATAAAAGTAAGTAAAAAAATTTTGTTCCTTTGGTATGGAATGGGACTACTTGTGTGTGTTACGCCCAGTGCTGTTGTACACTGTCAGTAATAAAGCAAAAAGGCTTTTAGTTAGTACAGTAATATGTAATGTCTGAGGGGTTTTAATCGAAAATAGTAATTTATGAAAAAATATCAATTGCATTTTACTGAAATGTACTTCTGTGACTTACATAAGTCTGTTGTGGCTGTAGTGGAGGGATTTGGTGGTTCAGTACCAACGTTGTCTTGTTCATGTCAAGAAATTTATAAGGTAACATATAACAAGGTACGTATTCCTGTAGTTAATGTGGAGATGTAGAACAGAGGGTAATAGCTATAAATTCTGCTTGTTTATAAGTACAGTACTGTATAACATACACTTAATGTTACAAGTCATAGAGGTGGTGGTCAGCCATCATCATTTATAGTTATCATTACATATTCACAGAAATTTGCACTTCTCATAAACCCTGAATTTAATAAAATAAATAAATTTTACATTACTGTACAGTACTGTACTATGAGTTTAATATGAATAATTTAAGTGCTTAAGGATCACACACATATTGTATATTGGTTTTCAATTTTTTTTCTTATACGTGATAACCTGTTGACTATTTTACTCATGGTTTTGACTAAAGATGACGAGGTAGTTGCACTACTGTATGCTTTGTTTAGAGAGGAAGGTTTCCTTCTGTTCAAAGAGCCGCTGCTCTAAGAAATTGTAGAAATCTAAATCATAAACCATTCTCCGTGATAGTTCTTTCTGAATAACTGTGGGAACTTCAGGCTTCTTTTGATTTTTGTTAACAATCATGTGCTCCCTTTGTCCTGAAATATAAAGCATATGTGAGTGCACATACTGATTTTTTTTTTTTAAACTTTAATATAGTTCAACAAGGAGAAATTACATCTCCACTTACATTGTGTATCAAGAAAAGTTATTTGACAGATAAGAACAAATGTGAAGAAATCAAGTACTTTACAGTACCTATAAAAAAAATTATTGATTTTGTGAAAAAAAAACACAATCTTCAAAACTGTATTATTGCCTTGTTCCCTACAACTCTTACTGACATCAACACACCATCTTTCCTTACTTCATTTTTAGTAGTAATAGACCTATACAATATTGTCCTGTGATATAATGGTGAACATGCTTGCCTTGCAAGTGGGTGATCTCACTTCCCAAACAGAGTGAAACTATGGGCACGTTTCTTTACTGTACTCCATTTTTCTATGTTTACCAGCAGTAATTAGGAACCTGGATGTTAATTAATTTAAGGATCGTGTTCCAGGGAAATGCTTAACCAGTGCAGTTGGTGAGCTCTCCATTCTTCTTGGATAATATGGCTCATTAACTTAAGGTGTCGTTATTGTATTGGGGTAACCTCTATATACTGTACCATATAACGATACAATATATAGACCCTATAA